TAATACACGCAACAGTATGTTTGGTGATCACTCTTTCCCGATAAATAGTTAATACATGCAACAGTCGGTTTTGTGATCACTACTTCACGGTAAATAGCTAATAAATACAACAATCGAACTAGTGATCACTTTTTCACGATCAGTTTTAAACTCGCAACTATCGATTTAGTGATTATTACTCCAGAATTAATAATTCTTAACACACCCAGCAATCAGTTAGTGATTACACCTCCACGATCAATAGTTAACACATACAAAAATCGGTTTAATGATCATTTCCCCGCGATTGATAGTTGTTAATGCATGTAATTAATCAGTTTAGCGATCAGCCTTCTAAGATGAACAGTTAATACATAAAATAATACATAATACATAGCAAGCGATCATTCCTTCACGATTTATTGGAAATACATGCAATAATAGGGCTAGTGATTAATCCTCACGATCAGTTTGTAATACACGCAACAATCGGTTTACTTACCACTTGTCCACAATCAATAATTAATAAATTAATACATGCAACAATCGAACCAGTGATAACTCATCCACAATGAATTGTTAAAACATGCAACAATCGGTTTACTTACCACATGTCCACCATCAATAATTAATAAATTAATACATGCAACAATCGAACCAGTGATAACTCATCCACGATGAATTGTTAAAACATGCAACAATCGGTTTAGTGATCACTCCTTCACGATCAATTTCTTATACATACTCCATTTATTTAATGCTTACTCCTCCGCGGTCAGTTATTAAAACATGCAACAATCGGTTTAGTGATCACTCCTTCACGATAAATTTCTTATACATACTCCATTTATTTAATGCTTACTCCTCCCCTCGGTCAGTTATTAAAATATTACAATAATCGAGCCAATGTTCACTGCTGCATTATGAATAGTTGTAACAACATGCAATAACCAGTTTAATGGCTACTCCCACGATCAATAGTCAACATATACAGCAATTAGTTTAATGATCTCTCTTTCACGATCACTACTTAATACATACAACAATCAATTTCACCCTTTCCCGTCCCGCATGCCAGACCTTCGGGCCACACCCCCCTCGCCGACCAGCTACACCCGTTCCTATCTTTCTATTCACCAATAAAAGACAATACTACAGTTGAACCAAGTACCCAGTTCTCCTATTTCTGCCACCCCCAGTCCAATGAAGATGAAAGTCTACCCCACGTCAATGCATATCATAAACATCCTGTTAGAAATATGTATACTATGAAGGGCTTTCTAAAACATTAACCTTTCAGTCTCAATCCCCTTCCTTTTGAAATCAGTAAAGCTTCACATGGCACTAACTGGCAATTACTAGGCGCCAGCTAGTAAAGGTAGGTTTTCTCTGAGCTCTCCCCCACATACATTTAATTCTAGGCATTAGATCTTCAGATATCCTGCCGCCATGAAGGACCATAAGTCCCATATCGGCCGTTAATTCTGTTCTGACCGTCTTTGGTTTTCTCTGGGTTCTCCCCCCCCCCATCTAATTCTAGATGTTCAAATGTTTACAAAAAAAATTCCATGTCTCTTCACATTAAACCTCCCAAGTGATTGTAAAACATGAGCGGGGTGAAGAGAAAGGACTTTCTGAACACTCCCTGTTGCGCTTGATCCCAAGCTTTTGGTTTGGAACCAAAAGTTTTCAAACCGAAATTACTGCCATGGTTTCGTTCGGTTATTCGTTTAGTGATTAGTTCTGCATGATCAATAGTTAATACATGCAACAATGGATTTTGTGATCACTCATCCACGATATATTTTTAGTATTGCAGCAATCATCTTAGTGATCATTCGTCTACAATCAGTAGTGAATACATTCAAGAAAAACAAGAGAGATAATCCTCAGTAGCCGCTGTTATATTTGATCTCAAATCGGTCAAGAGATGGAGCTACGAGCAAAAAGTTTGTACTTGAAAAAAACAACAACTAAGAGCCATTCTACTAGCCGCTATTCCGCGGCCAAAAATACTATTTCAAGTAAAAACCAATAACAGACAATTATCGGTTACAGTTGCGTCAAATCAGTAATACTTCTGATTCATTGCTATTACGAAATATATGGCTGTTTTCAGAGCTACATATTTAGTGCCATTCTTGGAGATTGGCAAATGTATAAAATATAAAAAGGAAAATAATAAGTTGTAATTCTTAACTTCAGGAAATATAAATCCAATGAAAAATATTAAATATCAAATTTGTTCTTGCATTAAGACAATTCAGAAAGATATCGAGTAATGGATTGTGTTATGTGTATAAAATGTATCATGGGAAAATGTAGAAAGAATATAGCATTTAAATATTTTCAATATCTTACATACTTTGAAACAAAGCCCGTTCATGTGTTACTGTTCTAAATATGAATCATATTAATACTATTAACACGGAAGGAAGGAAATGTAAGATGAAAAAGACCCTTGATTGAAAAATGATTAGAGTATTGAAGATAAAAATTTGATGGCGAAAAGGAATCTCACTCTTCAAAGATTTTAGAGAACGGGAATCAACTAAAACGAAACCTATTTGTATATATGTATATACGCATGTATAAAAAACACGTGTGTACACCTCGATAACTCCATATAAGATCATCACATACAGTTTTATACGCATGTATAAAAAACACGTGTGTACACCTCGATAACTCCATATAAGATCATCACATACAGTTTTATACGCATGTAATAAAAACACGTGTGTACTACCTCGATAACTCCATATAGATCATCACATACAGTTTATACGTCTATGTAATAAAAAACACGTGTGTACTACCTACGTAATAACTCC